TGGGAGCTGTCTGCGCGGCAGACGTCCAACCTTTTGGTAACTGTTCCAACAGCACTTCGTGGTTCTGATGTGAACAGATGAGTCGCCCAATTTGTGGCTGGGCTAATAGTTAATGGCTCCTCTGTCTGGAAAACCAGCAGCCAGTTGCTAAAGGAAGCCTGACACTGGGCTGGATGAGTAAACTGTGGACGCAGTGCGCAGTGTCTATCTGTGAGACAGGACCATTAAGGGGTCGGATGCGGTTTGAGGTAGGTGGCACCTGGGTGTGTCATGGAGCCGTGATTTGCTTGGACACCGGAGGGGGTGTCAGTCACATCAGTCCTGGGACACTCGCCTCCCGTGTCGTGACCCCATGTCACCCTTGGTGCTATGACTGCGGATCATGTGGCCTTCTTGGTGCACATTCAAAGCCCCTTTCCCTCACTCTGTTAACATTGCTCCCAGAAGAAGGTTCTTGCCCCTGTGGCACCCAGTGTGTGGCCGGTAGGTGCAGTTTGTTCTCAGCATCTTTTCCCCAGTAGTTCAAAGTTCTTTGCTGTTCTTCTCCCTTCCTCCCTCAGCCCAGTTCTGCAGTCCAAACTGAAGCAGCACGACTGTGGAAAAGGTGGGGCAGTGAGAACAGCACTTCCCGGGCACCGAAAGTACATGGCCTGTAGCCTTGCTGCATGATCTATCCGTGCAGCCATTTAGCATCAGACTTGTGCCTTGTGGTGTCTTGACTCTGGGGCAGGAAAGGATATGTATATGTGAAGGCCAATTCATGCAACACGCTTCAGGCCAGAACTAAGCATTGGTCTAGCTTCCCCTTCCATGGGGCTTAGGTCCCTCCTTGATATGTCTCTAAGCTCTGAGAGGAGAAAAATGCACAGCAACGGAGCTAGAATGGAAGCAGCTACGCTAGGATTATCGTCATTGAGTCTGGGATAGCTCCTTCCTTATGCCAAAGTTTATCAAGTTTTGACAAAGAGCTCAATGCAGTTATTGCATGCAAGACAGTTGCTTTTGGTAGAGGAAACCAGCCCTTTGGGAAATAACTTGATGTTCACCTGCCATAAGCAACGTCCTGACAGCGCAACAAATTAATCCTTGCAGAAAAAATTGCCGAACCTGCGTAGCCTGGACCTCTTCAACTGCGAAGTGACAATGCTGATCAACTATCGGGAGAGCGTGTTTGCCCTTCTGCCCCAGCTCACCTACTTGGATGGGTTTGATGTGGATGACCAGGAGGCCCCTGACTCGGACCCTGAAGCAGATGGTGACGGGCTGGATGATGAGTATGAGGAGAACGGCGATGGTAAGAGTTTTTTTGGTTTTCTAGAACTGCCTACACATTTCACTCTCAGGAGCCAGGCTTCCCAAAGACCCACCTTCAGGCTTTGAACTCTGAGTAGGATGAGTCTTGTATAATCTCATCCTTCCCAGGCCTAACTTAGAAATCTGGGCTTGTCACCTGACACATCCTATGTGCCTAGGTCTGCTCTGCAGGATTTTTTAGTCCCCTGTCACAGGTACGTTGCAGAGACATAAATAGCGTGGCCGTGCCGGGAGTTGGAAGTGTCACGGGTTCCTGGCTTTCCCATTGGTGCCAAGCAGAACCCAGTTCTTTCAACTTTTCTTGTGCTAGAAGGTGAGGAAGATGACGACGAGGAGGAAGATGAATTGGATGAAGAAGTGATTGATGATGAAGAGGAGGATGACGATGACTTGGATGCTGAAGAGGAGGAGGATGGTGTAGACGATGAGGTGAGACTAGCTTTTGTCTGATGCCTGTGTACATTTTGGCTGGCTCCCAGCGTGTGTCCTTTGCATGAATGGTCCCCTCTAATCCTGTTTGGTAATGTAGCCAACTGTTTGTATTCTGGCCGGAGGGTACTATTAATCAGGAAAAGAGCCTTTGTGGTAGCTGGCTGCTCTCAGAATAGTGCCTTGTGGCCTTGAGAGCATCTTTCTGTGTATCTCTGAGTTGTGTTTTTTCTCTTGCTTGTTACAAAGTGAACAGGATGGAGTAGGATGAGAAGGGAGCAGCCGTCTAGGTGCAAAGAGAGCTGGATATTGCAGGAGCTCTTGTTGGCACGATGCTGCCAGCAGCCACGTCCTCTTGAAGCCTTTCCCAGAGTAAATGGATTGGCTCGGTGACTGAAAGAAACAGCACATTGCATGCTGGCTTGCAACAGGGCTGATGGTGTAGTTTTACGGATAATTCAGACTAGGGCGTGGATGGGATAGTTTAATTGCGGATGATCCCATCTTGAGCAGGGGGCTGGTCTAGATGACCTGCAGAGATCCCTTCCAGCCTTACTTTTTCATGGTTTTATGCCTTTGGGGATCATTACTGGGGCAGCTGCTCCAGTGGGCAGGGTCAGGGGAGCAGGGGTTGGGGGGGAATGCTTCCCTACAAAGGTCATTAGATTTGTCCCATGGATCTTGGTTCTTGCTACAAATAGCCTCTCATTTCATTCAAGGAGGAAGAGGATGATGAGGATGGGGAGGATGAAGAGGAGGATGAAGGTGATGAGGGTGAGTATAAAACTCTAATTCTCCTAACTAGACCACATGGCTAATGCCATCCTGGCCATTACTGCACAGCTTTGGTGGACACAGTTGCTCTGGGATATGAGCAGCAACTGGGCAGTTCCGTGTTGAACACGTCTTGCCCCATTTTTTCTGAACCTGGGCACTTTGAGAGAGTACAAGCAGTGAAACCCAGCACACAAGTGAAACCAAGAAGTTTGGCTTAGTACAAACTGTTACTCTGCATAGTCTGGGTGCACCTACCTGCAGTTAATGTCATTGCCATGCAGCGTTTATGCTGTATTGCTGTGTGTTGATGCTTGAGTTCCTTTACAGTGCAGCATTCCTGTCTTCGATCGTGTGTTGACTTGTGTTGTGGCGCGTGTATGTGTGCACACAGTAAAGCCATGCGGAGTGTTTAAATGCAGGTGCAAATTGTCCAAACCCCTAATGGAGGCAGTGAAATCTCCAAATGGGCTCATGCAGACTTGCTGACAAAGCATCCATTGCCTTTGCAATGGAATTCATCTTCCTTCCTGACTGAGGCTTTTGGAACAGGCCACACTTGAAGCTTCAGATGCGTGTTATGTGAGCAAGATGATTTCTTGGAAGCACTGGGGAAGTGGCCTGATCAGCTTTATGTGCTTACAAAATGCAACTTTGGACTTGGACTAAGCCCAGAGGAGCGATACTGGTTTACCAGACATTCACTTCCCATTAACACTAACCAAATCTATGCTCTTCCAGGACTTAACTTTTTTTTAGCAGCTGGCTGTCAATCTAGTGAAACGTTAAAGTGGACTGACAAAATAGCCTATTTCTCATTGTAGGAGCCTTCTGCAGTTGTACAGGAGTCTCCAGTGGAAACTTGATCTGTATGTTAACATCAAGGAAGCATTTGCTCCTGGAAGTGCAGGTTACTTAGCCTCTTCTCTCCAGGCAAAAGGGGACTGAGCCTCTCAACTTGTGTTGAAATTCTCTGGCTAGTGGATCTCGATCTCAGTGGGTTTATTATATAAAGGAGACTAAAGCTTGAGAGAGGATATGTGCAGCAGCATGAGGGCTGGCATGGACTTGGAATGTTAAATCACTTGATTAATCAGCTTGGTCGGGAGGCTCAAAGTAGCCAGTAACTTCTGCATGCTCAGAAACCTGCAAGAGGGGACTGAGTTTGAGGTGCCTTGTCTTTCCTGAAACCAGGCCCCTTCAAGGTGCGCTGAGATAATGCGCTTTGCAGGGTCTTGGCCAGGCCACCTGCTTAGTTCATCTCTTTCCTTCCCAGCAGAGCTTCCGCAGGGAGAGAAGAGAAAACGAGAGCTAGAGGATGAGGGAGAGGAAGATCTGGAAGATGAAGACGACGAGGAGGACGACTGATAATCCTAGCGAGCCAATCAGTTTTACGGACTATGACTGTGTGCTTGTCCTAACCTCCCTGTTGTATCCACGTGAGACTGTAAATCCCCGTCTCCCAGCCCCTCCCCTCTGTCTGACTGCAGCATCCACAATATATTTTTTTAAGACGTAGAATACCCTAGGCATTCAGGGGAATCCTTCCATACAAGCTCACTTTCTCACAAACATCTCACGACCAAAGGCTTCCTCCGTTCTGTGGTTTGTGCTGCATTTTGCAAAAGAACAAAACAAAATCCTCCTAGAGCATCTTTTTGTCTGAAATTGGCCTCACCACCTGGGACCCAGAGCTCCAGCAGCCCCTCTCCACCCCACGTCCCCACAAGGAGATGCAAGTTGCCCCCCCCCCCAATGCACACACTCCAAAGGAGATGCCAGCCTCCCAAAGCAGTGCGTGCAATCTGCTTATCCAGACGGACTCTGAAAGCAAAGCCACCTGAGGTATTGTCCCATCAGGAACAGCAATGGTGGTGGGACCTCTGGAGATGCTGGAAGATTGTCAGCGCTGTGGGGTGCAAGGCGCTTGGGTCTCTAGGAGGAACAGGCTCCTTGCTGGGTCTCATACCTTGGAGGCTGCACCTTGCAGCAGTCCTGCCACTTGCTTTCTCTGCTTCCTAGTTTGTTTTATAAACTGGAATTTTGTGACCTGTTAGCCACATCATAACTTGTGGCTGTCAGCAAAGTAGTTCTGCCTGGCTGCTGTGAAGGTCTTGCTGTGGTGAGGCTTCCCTATCCCCAGCCCAACCTATACATCTAGGAAGGGGCAGAAAGCAGCTGGCCAGGGGATGCTGCATTACCACCACCACACTCCATTTTTCACTCCGCCATTATCACTGTGACACCTAACTCGGTGATCTCTGCAGACCGTGTTAGCCTAAATATTCTCAGGGTCCTTCTGCTAGCCAGTAACAGCTCTTGATGATAGGCTCAGTTGCTAGCCTGGCGTATGCATCCCCCCCTCTTTCCTTTCCAGAGTGCAGAGAAGTGCATTGGGAACTCCAGCTGTTCCCCGTCTCCACTGTTTCATGCACTACTAGACCTCGGGCTATGCTGCAACATTTTCACCAGGTGCCTCCTCCCTCTCCCCTGCTCAGAGCAGTAGAACCGATGCCTCTCCAGTCAGTATTTTGGGGTCCTTTTTATGTATTTTTTTTTTTTTAATTATTATTTTAGAGCAAGGAGTGGGTGGGACCTAACCAGATGGAGCTACCCAGCATGGCATTTCTGACTCCTTGGTTTCCATTCCTCCTCGTCGGGGTGTTCGTTTGCTACTGGACTCTGTCCTAGTCTTGTGGCATCATGGCACTGCAGTCGTTGGCTTATTTGGTGCCCAGTGATATCTGCTCAGACAGGTTAGTGATAGGGGAGTTGGGTCATCCTGAAGGCAGATGCATTGGCACTTAGCAGGGTGCTTGGCCGCTATGGGCAAATACCTATCGGTGCCCTGCAGCTGACTGCAGCTTGTCGCCCCTTCCTGAGGCAGTTCTCGTGGAGGAGTTGAATACCACAGCCCCCGTAGATCTCTGCTCTGTCGCCTGGTGTGGCTTTGCCCTTGTCTCTTGCATTGTACAGTAGCTATAACCATTCAAAGAGAAACTCCTCCTGTAAAATGCAAACTGAATAACTTATAAATGTTAATGGATTTTTTTCGTTAAATGAAATCAGAGCAGCAGTTGGTATTTTTTAATTTCCCTACTTTTTTTTTTTTTTTTTTTTTTTTTTTAAAGCAAATCGTAAGGATTTTATATTAGCCTAATCGCCATCAGGTTTTGATTGGTCAGAATAGCCCCAGAAATGAGACTCTCCAGCCTTCTTTTTGTAAAATTTTTTTTTTTTTTTTGGGTTACAAAATTTGGAGAAAAAGTTTTAATAAAGATGTCGGTTTTTACAAACCCCTTGTATCGGCGCTCTCTCACTGTCCCCTTTCGTTCCTGGGAAGCGTGAGATAAGGGGGTATCTTGGTCCTTTCCCCCGTGGCTTGGAGCAGGGCGCTCGGTCCAAAGCAAGATGCAAAGCTGCTTTTGGCCAGTGTCTTGAAACTGCCAGGATTAGTTTGTTGTTTAAGCCCCAGACAATGGGAGTGCATGTGCTTCGCTGCCCTAATATGTTCAAAAGACCTCAGGCTAGGCTGAAAAAGAAGAAATGGCAAAGAAGTGTAGAGCCCTATAGCCTTCTGGAGGACCTGGGTAGTGGGCCAGGCAGGGCTGCCAAGTTCGGTGCAAGTTCTTCACTGGGGAGGGGAATGCAGAATTGGGAAGCGCTGGGTTTTTAGAACAAGCCTGATCTCCATAGGGCAGGGCTGGCTTTTCTGGCGTGTGGGAAGGAGAGGCAGAGGGAGACATGCCAGAGGGAAGCTGAATTCCTAGCACCTGTGTGGGTCACTGAAATGCTAACCAAGCACCTGCACAGAATGGGGGGTGGAGGGGGATCTTGCACCCCCACTGACTCGGCCTGCTTGCAGAGCTGGGGTGCTGCAGAGGAAGCCATGCTTGCCTCTTTGAAAGCAGAAGCGTTTGATTTCTTCCCCCTTCTCCATGGCACTGAGTGGAGGTGGACGGAGGAAGCTGCAGGCTGAGTTCTTGGAAATCCTAGGTAGGGAGGAGTCGGGGTTGGGGGGGGGCAGAGCCTTGCAGCTGCTGCAGATGGCTGGCACCTGGTCCACGGGGAGCTGAAAAGGAAGGGACAGTGCTCTAGCTGCTAGCACTCAGCTTGCTAAAGCCCAGCATGGGAGACTAGAGCATCTCTTGGGAGAGCAGCAGGTACCCCAGAACGTGATGGCAGCCTGGGAGGGAAGACGAGGGCAGCGTGTTCTGTTCTGCACTGCCTGCTTGTGCTGGTCTTGGACCTGGGCTCCCTTCCCCAGGGGTTGCTCACCTAGGGCTGGGAAATAGGGGAAACTTTCCCTACTTCTCGGGAAGACGCTGGAGAATCTGGCCCTTCAGAGATCAAGGGGGCTGCATGGCTCCCAGGCTCTGCTTGTGGGTCCCTGCTGTCCTCTCTGGGCCGGTTTGGCCCCCCATGGACAGAGGATGCCCTGTCTGGGACGGGGGTGAATGTGAGAAGACAGTCCCTGCCGGGCCTGGGGGTGGGTGCTTGCTTCGGTAGGCTTCTCCGCTCAGCTTGCAGAGTGAAAATGCCTTGGCTGTGAGGTCAGCCTCTGCCCTTTGTTATCAGCGGAGGCCCAGGCCGCTTCCTGGAGAGGAGGGGGAGGCTGCGATGCGGCACCCCGTGGACAGGACAGGAGTGCTTGGGGGGAGCAGGACTCCATTGTGCTCCAGCAGCGATGGACGCAGCGGGACAAAGGGGAGCAGGGCCGCCGAGGGGAGCTGCCTTGCCCATTGGATGCCTCTCTCCTGGTTGCCCGCGCCGTGGCCAAATGCAGCTGCCTCGAGGGGTTCCTGCTTCCCACCGCCTGGCTGGCAGGAACCTCGTCCTTGTCTGCGGCCTGTTAAGCTCTGGATTCGCCCTCAACACCCATCCCTCCCCCTCCTGCTGCTGTGTGAGCACGGTTCAAGAAGCAGCAGGGAGGTTTCCCCAACCTAATTACTGGGTTTTTTCCCACGGCCCAGCCTCCGGCCGCCTTGGGACAACCCTCTGCCTTGGGATCTGCACTGGAGCTTAGCACGGAGGCCTGTTATCGCCTGGCCAGCCTGTGGCTGCATTGCCTTTTCTTCCAGCCATGGCGTCCGCTCCCTCCCTTGGGGCGGGGGTTGAGGCCGTGCTCTGTGTTGCAGCAAAGAAAGCTGGATCTTCTGCCCGCTGACTCACGGAGGGCGTAGTCAGGCAAGCAAGTCCAAAGAAAGCTGCTGGCACAAATGGCTGGTGCTGGGTGGGGTTGGGATTAACTCCCTGTGCTCGGGGAGAAAGGGCTAATGCATCGCCTACGTGATGGAGCACAGCCGCCGTCCTCCCCCTCCTTGCATCTGCCCTGTGGGCAAGGGGCTGCTCCTGCCACATATGAACGAAGGGCTTCAGGCTGTAGCAGTGGAGCCCTTCCTGCGAGTGCAGAGGGAGGCAGCAGCCTGGGGAGGGCAGGGGCTTCCTTGGCGTGAGCTGGTTGTGTTGTGGGCACCGGGCACAGCCCTGGGAGCGGAGGGTGAGGAAGCTCATCTGGGTCCTGGCACCTGCCCGTATGCACCATGCAGAGGCACCAGCCTGTGCGGATGCTCTGCCCTTACTGCGGTCTCGCTGCATCAGGAGCAGGCCTGGAGCTTTGTACCCTTCTGGTACTTGGGGATGCACCAGCTATGGTGCACGCCTGCTGGGCACCACCAATGGCTGCCAGGCCACCGTCCATGGCCACACACCGGCCCGTGGCTGTGAACTCTTCAGTGTGCCGCTGTTCTGCCCCCTCCCCTTTCAGGCTCAGCTCTAGGCGGCTTGTCTGAAGCGGGCTGGGTTGGTGGGTACAGCGCAGCTATCGGATGTGCAGGTTGAGCTGAGCTGGCACACCGCCCGCCCCCACTCCTTGCAGCTCTGCTTGTTGCTCTACTGAAGGAGTCCAAGGTACTGAAGCAGTGGTTTATCTCAGAGAACCGTGGCATCAGGGGTGGGGGGGTCCTGGCAGTGCTAGGCTGCTCCTCTGTATCAGCCCGTGTCCTCACTGAACCCCAGGGCGTGCCCGCAGCTGGGCCCTGGATAAGTCTCCCTGCTCACCCCTCCTCTCTTGCTCTAGCTCCCCAGCCCGACTTGTCTCTAGTGTGCAACAGGGCAGGGGCTCTTATCTGCCATGCCCAGCACGGTGGGGCCCTGGGCGTACCAGGGACGCGCAGGCGTGGGGTCCATGGGTGGAGGCTGCTATGCCACCGTGAGCAAAGCAAGCAGCATCGCTGGGGATCATGCACCATCCCAGCCGCTTGGGCAGGCTAGGGGGTGGGGAGGGGCTGGTGCTGCACTGACCCCTTTTCAGTACTTGACCCCTAAGGCAGAAGCATCACTTTGGGGGTCATGGCTCTGGGTTGCATCTCAGTGGTGTGTATAAACTGGCCCCCTGGGCAGAAGGGCTTAACAGGGCCATCCAGATGTGCAAGCCCAGGCAAAGCAGATGTGAAGTGGGGGCTGCAGGAGTTGGCCCTGAGCTGGGAACTTGCAGTACTGGTCCTTGTGACCTCAGATAAGACACCAGGTTTTGTCTCCCCGCTTTAGTCCTTGGCGGAGGCCAGGATAGCCTTGCTCTGATAAGTACAATGCAGGGGCTCTAATCCTCCTGCGATACAAATGGTTAATATGGCAGACTGGATTCCATCCCCCCCTCTCCCCTAGCTCTGCCTGGGCTTGGGGGGAGGCTTTTCCAGCTGGGGAAAGGCAAGGTGGGCTTGGCCAGTGCAGCTGGAGAGAGCACAACTGCTGTGGTTGAACTCCCACTGCTGTCTGTGCCGACGGTGCCGGGCCAGGGAGGGGCTTGCCCTGCCGTCCAGCTTGGCACTGCCTCACTACAGCTGGGCCCACACTAGTGCTGCTAGGGGCCGATGCATCTCCATGGGAAGAGCAAGTCTGGGCTGGTGCAGGGCCTGGACCACAAGCCCCCTTCCCCCTTCTCTAGGGCCAAGAGGCCTGGTTTATCAGCTGCCTGGTGAAGCCAAGAGAGAAAAGCCTAGGACTTGTGAGATCCCGACTGGGAGACAGCACCACTGTGGGCTGCAGGATAACACCAGCCATGGAGGAGGAGGGTCTCCCTCTAGCACCATAAGTCTTCTCCCTCTCTGGTTTAGGGCCTGAAGCAGCTACCACCAAAATGCCTGAACCCCTGCTGCCCTCCAGAGAGGGACCAGCCATGCTGGCCGGCAAGCCCAGCACCCCTCCACCCACCCCGTGCAAGCCGCTCTCATCCCTTTCTCCCACCTGCCCTGGAGCCCCCCAGCCCCGGGACACAGAGCAGAGCAGACGGCCCCATGATGGCTCCTGTACAGTTCCCATTTATTATTTAGAGACCTCCTTCCGGAGAAGAAGTCTGCTAACTCCTGAGCAGCCCGCGCAGGCTCGGCAGAGCCGTGTCTGAAGTAGTGAGACCTGTAGGAGAGCGAGAGGCGCGCCGGCTTCGGGGCCTCGAATCAAACTTCCAAAGAAAAGCAAACTCAGACCCTCCCCCCACCACCCCAGATGCTGCGGTGGGGGACCAAGGGGCCTGCACGCAGTCCGGGCTGGAGTGGGAAGGGCCGTGAACACAGTTGGGGGGGCGGGGGTGAAGGAGCCATGCCAGAGTCCCAGGGTGGAGGGCGGGGGGGTCCTGCCATAGTTCCCCCCACTCCCAGCTCCCGTTAGAGTCCCGTGCACAGCTCCCTGCCCACCTCGGGGAGCGGGGGGGGGAAAAAAAAAAAATCACTTGACTAAGCAGGAGCAGAAGGATCAGAGCTGTGAGTACAGGGAGTTCTCCATCTCCGGCGTGAGCTTCGAGTGGAAGGAGGCAAGGCCCACCCCGAAATCTGAAGGAGAAAGAGACAGGGGGGTGGAGAAGAGTCAGTGCCAAAGCACCTGCCAGCTCCCCAGGGGCTGCTCTGAGTGGTGCATGTCTCCCAGCTCCCAGGGGCAGGACAGCCTGGCTTGCCTTGGATTAAGATGGCGCTGCCACCCCAGCCCTCTCCCAGGGTTTTGCAAAAGCCCTATCTGGGGCACAGACTGGCCCTGCCGCAGTGGAGACTTCATGGCTGCAGCCACCCCTGGTGCCTCACTTGCCCATCAACTCTGCCAGCCGGTGTCGGTGCCCCAGGCTGGCAGGAGCACAGTGCAAGGCCCAAGCTCTACTGGGCACCCACAGGCGACCTCAGGGAGAGGCACCCAGGCAAGGGGAGCTTTCCCAGCCTCGGGGGAGGAAGGTGATGGTGCAGGTCGCACGTGGATGGGGGTTAGTGTCGTGGGAAGGTCTCCGGCAGCTTAGCCTGATCCTCGGTGCCAGTACCCACCTCTCCTCTCCCTGGGCATGGTCATACTGCAGGAGTCCTTCCTCCCTGCCTCTCCACGTAGGAAGGCAAAGCCCAGCAGTGAGAGGCTGGGGAAGGGTGTATGTGACAGCTGGGGGCACAGTGCCCACCCACAGCCAAGGCTCGTGACCTCCTTTGCACTTTGGGAGCAAGCAGCTGAAGGCTAGCATCCCTGGACTCATGATGGGAGCCACAGCACCCCCAGTAGCAGGCCAGGGTATGCTGCCCACCTCCCCATGACGCCCCAGCTGCCCACTGGCACGTACCCATCTCGCCATCCAGCCGGCTGGGCGGGGGCGGGTTCTTGCGGTGATCCTCAATATGCAGCGTCATCTCCTCCCGCGAGGCGGTGGAGTAGGGGCACTGCATGCAGGTGTAGCGCCCTCGCGTGTGCTCCCACACGATGCGGCTGTTGGAGGAGTGGCCTGCAGCACAGGGGGGGGCAGGAAGCAATGCACTGACTCGCCAGCGCCTGGGCACGGGGCACAGCTCATGCAGCCCCCAGGGACCCATGGCCAGGACAGGCATGCGAAGCCGTAACTGCCGCTGGGTCAGCAATGGCCCTCAGCCATGGCCCCCTGCTATGCAAGGAGCAGCATGAAGCTGATGGCACAAGGGGTGGGGCGAGGGATCAAGAGGGCAATGGATGAAGCATGGCCCCTCTGCCGGGAGCTAAGGACGCCTGCGTTCAGTTCCCAGCTTTGCCACCAACACCCTGCACCATGCCACCCTGCGACGACTGCGGGCAAGGTCACCCCGTCTGCCTCGTCTCATTAGACCAGTGGGTCTCAAACTCCGGAGGCCCCCGGCATCCTTCTGTGACACCCTATTTCAATACCACAGGCGTTTACTCCTGGCACAGCACATACCTCCTGGCACAGGGACAGGGCAGAGGGCACTGGGGGGAGGTTCAAGCACTTAGCTGCTTGCACAGGGGCTAGCAGGGAGAAGCAGGAGCTTACCCTGCATAGAGCCTACACTTACCTCCTTGCAAGAGGGCCCAGGTGGGGAAGAGCAAGTGTGGCATCCCCGAAAGCATCTCATGGTACCCCAGGGTGCCACAACAGCCCAAGTGAGAACCAAAGTAAGACTGAGGCTCCTTGGGGCAGGGGCTGCCTCCTGCTGGGGCCTGGTGTCTGAGTGCTACCTCTGGCAAGAAAAGGAGGGGCCCAGGGCACTTCAGTTTAAGGGGAATTTGTCTGGCCACGGTGTTTGCTGTCATACACCCACCCCAGGGCCAGAGCCGCACGCTGAGCTGCAGGGAACCCAGGTTCTGAACTCCAGCTGGCCTGGCCCCATGCAGAGGCAGGACGCAGACTGCAGCATGCAGGGGCAGGCTGGAAAGGACAGAGCCAGCCCCCACCTAGTACCAAAACAGGCCCCGGTATCAGCTTGGTACCACTGCAGCTACCACCCCTAGCCAAGACCCACCTGGTCCTGGACTAGAGACCTGCAGGAAGCCCCCGGCCTCCCAGCTTGCAGTGCCCTCCCTCCACGAGTGGCTACAGGGTACGACTGTTGGGTTGTGCCCCTTATGCCCTGGAGTCTCCCATCCAATTCCTGAGCACACCTGAACCAGTCGAGCTTACAAGCTGTGATGAGACCAGGGCCCGCGATACCCAGCAACCACAAGCAGCAGAGTAAGAGCAAGCCTCCAGCCCCATGCGTTGCCGTTTCACCCCCTAGGGAAGCTCCGGGAATTCCTCAGCCAGTTTCCAAGGACCCCCAGCCCCTCGTCACATCGCTGTTCCAAGCAGCCTCCCTGGTTTTCCTTCAGCCTCCAGCCAGGGCACCGCCTCCCCTCCCACTTCTGCACGGCAGCATCCACCCCACGAGGCTGAATTTCCCTCTTGTGTCCAGAAAGCAGCCCCACGCCGGACTAACCTGGAGTCACTCCCCAGCCGAAGCCTGGGAGGAGGGGGCTGACACTCACATCTGCGAAGGGAACTGAGGGGCAAGAGGAGCATTAGGCCTTCCCTTCCCAGGGCAGGGTGTGGGGGGTGGGGGGAAAGCCCTGGCTGAGATGCCAGCAATTCATGCAGGCAAGGCCTGGCATGGAGGTCGGACATTGCCTGATCAACAGGACTCTGTGGGGTGGCAACAGCTCCGGTGGTTGGGAGAGGCTGGACCAGGATCCTCCCGCGACCCCAGGCTGTGATCTCCAGGCAAAAAGGTGGGACTTGATTTAACATCTTCCCAAGGAGCTGCTTGCTAGTTGGGGTGAGAGTCTGGGCATGGGCTGGGGGGCGGGGAAGAGAAACGGCCACCCAGACCCACCAGGCCAAGCCCAGAAGGCAGAGAAGGAGCTGAGGAGTGCCGGATCCTTCCTGGAGGGAAAGGGCCCAGTAATACCCTGGGCCAGTGGGTCTTGAGCAGAAGCTGCTAGCCGAGCCCCGAGGGAGCCACGTTGTGCCATGGGCAAGCCCCAGCAGAAGGCTCTAGCTGTACTGAACAGCCCCTGTTGTCTCACCTTGACTCTTCTTCCACACGGCGTTGGAGACAGGAAGACCTTGGCTGGGCAGGTATGGCCTGAGACGATGCTGGACTGAAGCCTGAGGTAAGCTGTAGGGCGAGGGGGGCATATAGGACAGGAAAGGCCCCGGCACCGAGGAATGGGGCGGGCCTGAGAACCGAGTCAAGGAGGGCGCCCCGAAGAGTGAGGGCTCCAGCAGAGGGAAGGGGTGGGAGGTCGGGGAGACCAGGGGCATGGACTCCAGGGAGCCATGCAGACCAGAGAGGCTGGCGGGGAGGGAGGCTGGCGCCGTGGCAGAGACCGTGTCCATGCTAGGGAGAATGGCTTCTTTCTCCATGTGCCGGATGACGCCCTGGAGCTTGGGCAGCCCCTCCAGCGGCTTGGCCAGGGGGTCCTTCTCCAGGCCAGAGGTAGCAGGTAGGATGGGCTTCTCAGCATTTGGAGCCGGAGACGAAGTGCTGGAGCTGTCGGAGCAGACGTGCAGGTGCTTGAAGAGGGAGCGGTACGTTCGGAAGCGCAGCATGCAGTTCTCACACCTGGAAGAAGAGAGAGTTGGCAACGGCCCAGCAAGGATGGAAGCCACCCCTGGCATTGGCCCCTGCCGCCAGGCCCAAAGAGGCCAAATGCCGAGCGGGCCACAGGCAGAAAGGCCTTCCTGTACACACAATCAGAGGGGACAGAGCTAATGTGGGGGGTGGGGATTAGCCCCCATGGCACGAAGCCAGGGGCTGCAGAACATTTGGGGGTCCAAAGGGAAGGGATACTGGCTCTTATGCCATCTCCCAGGCTGAATGGTGAGAGCAAATTGCATGGGGACGTTTGAGAGGAGGCAGAACAGCCACCGGGGAACAGACCACGGGACACAATCCTGCCCAGGCAAGGAATGAGCAAAGGAAAAAGTAGGTGGAGAAAGGCAGGAGCCTTGTGCCTGCAGTGCAATGAAGGGGACTTACTTGAAGTAGCGGTTTGGCTTGTAGTGCACCTTCATGTGGGTCATGAGGTCCTGCATGCTGGGGAAGGTCTCCGTGCAGCCCGGCGTGGGACAGCGGAAGGTTTTCCCTAGAAGAAGGGCACAGAGGTCGGCAGTGTCCTAGCCGTTAGAGCAGCACCCACAGCAAGGATAGCGTCAGCCATGGCAGCCTCCCCCTGTACCCAGGGGACCTCCAAAAACCAGTGACTCAACGGTTACAGAGTCCAGCAGGAGACTGAGGACCACCTGTACGTTCTCCTCATACACTTCTCCCCACCCACGGCATGCACTGCACTGGTCTAAGTACAGAAGAGCTACTGATCGTTTACTGAAGTGGGTGATAAGTTTGGCAGAGACCTACCAATAAAAGAAGATGCTCAGGGCACAGCGGGGAGGGGAGAACTTGGGTGTTAATAAATCAAATCGGTCTCCTCTTTTAGGACACAAGATGAAGAGCTCATCTAGCCCATCGGCAGAGCCAGGAGAACAGCGCAATGCATACGCATGTCGGTGTCATGTTGACACACGATGGCATAAGAAGCAAGGTCCAGATTTCTCAGAGTGAACAGCATCTTCCATGCCCCAACCATGACTGCTGAACACTTGGAAGACTGGCCCTTGGCATGGCAGTCTGTGTGCTCCGGTACAAGAGCCATGACCACCTGTGCACCGGTAGAAATGGCAGGTGACTTCAGTGACCAATCACACCTTGGACAAGTGCTCACAGCTGGTTATTTGCAAGCACCCCGTGGAACGCAATTTGTTCACCAAATGAACACAGTAATGATACGATAACCCACTGGCACCCATCTGCTGAGCCGAAGCACCAGGAAGGGGTGAATGAGGCCTCCTTAAAATTAAGTAGAATCCTCTGCCCCTATGATAACCGCCATGCTCCTCTTGCACGTGCTATCCTGATGTGCCTCATCTCAGCAGCAGTGCCCCTCATCAGGATGTGTCCCCTGCCTTACCCTCCAGTGACTGCGTGGGTCGGTAGTGGACTTTCAAGTGGTCCATCAGCTCCTGCATGCTGTGGAAGGCCAGCTTGCAGCCGTAGCTTGAGCACTGGTGGTGCTTCCCTGGAAGAAGACAGCCCCTGGAGTCATTACTGTCCCTGGCTCCAACAGCTTCCTGGCGTTCACCACCTCCGACTGACTGAAAGTAGGGGCTTCCACGCAGCCCTGTTGGGGAACTGCTTTTCCCCAGGCAGGTGCTCTTTTGCTGGCACTGATGTACTGAAGCTGACCTGGGCTGTCACACCCAATCTAGAGACCACCCCTGCCACACAAGCATGGCCAGCCAGTCCTCACAGGACCCATGGCTGGGAGCTAGAGCTCCTGCAGATGTGGTTTGCCCAGTAAATAGGTATGGAAAGTGGCAGCACCTTTCTGGCCCCTGGAGTACACCTCCAACCTGGCTTAGAGACTTCCCCATGGCCTGTTCTCCCTCGTCGGAGATGGCCCCTTGGAAAAGACATCATCAGCTTCACAGCTGAGACGCAGCATACTCGCGTCACATGGCTTGATGAGCAGCCAGAAGGCAGATGCTCCCTGTCTGTACCAGGGGCTCTGATCACGTTGGTACCTCATTTCTCCTTTAGATATATCCCACCACATCCATTTCACTCCTTCGCTTCTTTTTTCTTTTAACCTCTGCTTCTTTCTTGCCACGGCCCAGTCTCCCTCCCCTGCACCAGACAGGCACAGCTTTCCCTCTGCATCTCACCAACTCCCCTAACCCTTCCCTCTTTCCCAGGCTACTGTCTTGCAGCTGCAGTCACTATTTGTGGCTGAAAGGGAGACAACACCAGACCCATGAGGGTCCCAAGTTCGAGATGGCCCAGAGTTCTGCCCAGCAAGTCCGACCCAAAACCCGAGTGTACCCTGCCTGGCCTTGCTAGGATCACGGCCCCACCCTGCTGGGAGCAAGGCTGCCAGAAGGTGCTCCAGGGACCTTACCTGGGAGAGGTCTGCGCTTGGGGAGCCGAAGTTCCTGCACTTGAGCCGCACCGCCTCCGCTTGCCGTTGGCTGTGCCTGGCTGCCCAAGAGGGCCGGGTCGCTGCACCCTGATGGGGAGAGGCTGTGATGAAGAGAGTGAATACACACACACAGGCACCAGTGCTAGGGGGGCAAGTCTGTCACCCTGGGATGAGGTCATGGGGGGCGCATGGAGGGGTTCAACAAAGTAGGGATGGATTTTATATCCCAGCCTGGGGTAACAGCATGTTCCCAGACAGGGTTTGGCTTTGGCTTGGCCAAAGACCCAGCTACTGTTCAGCTTACATAGCACAAGGGCACAGAGGAGACACACGGGCAGTCAAACTGGAGGGGACCCGAAGCCTCACAGTGTAAATGCCTCGGAGCAGGCTCTTAATCACCTTAGCACTGCCTGCAGTGATGTCTACTCCCCTCTCATTGCAGGTTAAAAAAAAACCAAAACAACTCAAGGTCTCTATTATTTTAGAAAGAGCTGTAGAGAATCCTGCTTTGGCAATCCCCCTGCAGTCGAGGATGACTGTCTTATCTGGGGGTCCAAAGATGGCCAACCAGGACGATTCAGGATCAACAGACTCTTTTGCAACTCGGGCACCTGTATCCACGTGGGGTGGGTGGCGCTGGATTTTTTATTTGGTCCATGATGCACTGTTTCTGCTGCTCCCGCTTTTCCATCTCCTGTTGTCGTCGTACAGAGAACCCAGTGCCCATCTGAACTCAACTTAAACCTCCAGGGGCTTAGAAGAAAGTAGTACTGGGAGGCAGCACAGCTTAATAGTTAGGGCACTGGACTGAAAAAATCAGGCGACCGGAGATCCAAGTCCTATATCCACCACCGATTTGC